AGCAGCAAAGTAGAGCCCAGAAAAAGAGAAGGGGATTTTTCACGATGCGGAATGGCGCAACCACTTGGATTTGAACAACTATCATTTTTTTAACTGTACTTCTCAAAGTTTTGTTATGTTGCGGTATTTCATTGTTTTCTCTACACGAGTGTTTCTTTGCTTCAACTGGTAAGAATTTTTTGACTCAAAAATTCTAATGTTAAAACCAAATGTTCGTTCAGATATAATTCTGGTGCTGGCTAATGAGAAATTGCATCTTACAAGAATTTAGTTATGTGTGATGTGATGCGACTGGAATTGTTTGCCCACTAAGCCATCACTTCCCTTTTGCACTCCACATCAGAAATGCCAGTCAATAAAACTAAGGATTATTATTTTTCAAAGAGTAACAGTCTCATTTTTCTATAAACCTTTTTAATGAAAACTTTTTCATTTCCCTCAGGCGGCACTTGATCTAAGATGCATTTGGCTAGTTGAATAAAAATACCTCTTAAAGGAAAGAAGATTCCCATCAAAGCTGTTGAAATCTGATTTCATTTCAGATTCTACAACTAATGTTGTTTTTTGTTTAAATAGATTTTGTCTGTCAATTTGCAGACCTGCTGTGCCATCAGCTTGTATGGACTGCTGTGGTCAACACGGGGGTTGTGGGAGCAAATTTTATTATGGACTGGTAATTGAATTGAACAGGTTTACATTTGAATAGATTTACTACATCACGATCTCTGACATACTACATGGGACTGAAATGTCTCTCCATCCATAAAGATACATTTAAGACAGTATCATTCTCTCCAGGCTGAGAAGGCAAGTCTTGAGCCAAGGAGCTGGCCAAACATAATTGTGCATTTATATGCACGGTGATATGCTATATTTCACTGCATTTTTTAAGTACAAAGAAAAAGAATATTCCATATTTACTCATACCCATTCCATCCTTTCTATGGGGGGGAGGGGCTTAGAGAATTGACATTTTCCCATCAAAGTGGGCATAAGGAAGCAAAGGAAAATAAATTATTATTTGAGTATACCAGCAACAGCAGCAATTCCCTTAAAAACAGACTCTCTAAAGGCTTGATCACAGCAACTGAAGAGGTGTGAATTACAGATAAGCGCTGGCCCATTCACTTTCACCAACAACGTTTAATTAAACACAGTTCACACCTCTTCAGTCATTCTAACCACCCTTCAAGACTGTTCCTGCTTAAAAACCACAATGGGGAAAATTATTGAGTGGAAAATATTTTTTCTACTTCCTCCGTAAACCTGGAAAGGTAAGTGGTTGAATAAACTACAGCAGTAAAATCAAATGGATGAAAAAATTCAGTCAACCTGGACAGGGAAGCTTATCTCCATGTACTTTAGTTTTTGAAACAAAATCCAAATGTAGGATTCACCAATTCCAAGTGTTCATTGATATATTACTTTTCTAACATTTTTCAAAAATTGATTTGCTTTTTAAAAATAATGTGTCCTCATCTCTCAACTCATTTTTTTTTTTCTTCTGCTTTATCTCCCCAAACCCCCCAGTACATAGTTGTATATCTTAGTTGCAGGTCCTTCTAGTTGTGGCATGTGGGATGCCGCATCAACGTGGCCGACGAGCAGTGCCATGTCCACGCCCAGGATCTGAGCCAGCGAAACCCTGGGCTGCCGAAGCAGAGCGTGTGAACTTCACCACTTGGCCACGGGGCCGGCCCCTCAACTCTCAACTCTTAATTAAGCCTTGTTGAATGAGCATAAATTTAGTTTGAGTCTCTACAGCTCAACTAAGTGGCAATATGAAGACCAAAAATTGACTAACAATTTTTGATCATTATTATCACTTATATTCTGAAAGATGTTTTGTTTGTTACTCTGCTCTAGGGTTTAAGGCAATTGCTAGGATAAAGTTTTCCACCTCAAAAAAGTAACTCTCACCACAAGCCTGAAAGGAAACCTCTTTGTCATGTGGGCTGGGTTGTTAATGTTGGGTTTTTATTTGTATGTTTTCCTTTGTCAAAACTGTCCTTTTAGGGCTGGCCTGGTGGCACAGTGGTTAAGTTCACATGTTCTGCTTCAGCGGCCTGGGGTTCACTGGTTTGGATCCTGGGTGCGCACCTACGTATGCACCACTTGCCAAGCCATGCTGTGGCGGCGTCCCACATATAAAGTAGAGGAAGATGGGCATGGATGTTAGCTCAAGGCCAGTCTTCCTCAGCAAAACAAAACAAAACAAAACAAAACTGTCCTTTCGGCATTTTTCATACAAGCTTTCTCTAGCAAGAGCAACCATATCAACCTTTTTCACTGTTGCATCATCGGAGCCTAGAACAGTGCCTGGTACATGGGAGGAACTTAATAACTGTTTAGCAAATGGATTATAAACATCAAACATGTTTCACATCAAACGTGAAAAGCCCTAACAGTGTTAAAGACTGTAGAGTGAAAAAGGGAAGTATTCCTCATCTTCATTTTTATTCACCAGTATAACACCATCACCAATCTTTATCTTTCCTTCCACATTTCCATGGATATACCATTGCACTGTGTATCTGCCTTCTTCCATTCTTTCTCCTTTCTCTCTCTCTCTCAGTATTTTTAATGTAAATCATTAGAAAATTTTTTAAGGGGCCAACCCTATAGTATATCGGTAAGTTCGTGTGCTCTGCTTTGGTGGACCAAGGTTTGCAGGTTTGGATCCCAGGGGTGGACCTAGCACCACTCATCAAGCCACGGTGTGGTGGCATCCCACATAAAATAGAGGAAGACTGATACAGATGTTAGCTCAGCAACAATCTTCCTCAAGCAAAAAAAAAAAGATGAAGGTTGGCAATGGATGTTATGGCCAATCTTCCTCACACACACACACAAAATTTATTTAATATAAATTTAATATAAACATATTTTTATATAGAAGTATACTTATATATAAATTGAATCATACTATGAGGCAATTTGCTTATTTTTACTTGGCAATATATCTTGGCCATCTTCTCATAAGGCTTTAAGTATAAAGTTATACACTTTGTTTACAGCTTTTTTCAAGTTGAAGACAAGAAGAACTTGAGAGAGGCTTCTTTGTTCCTAGTCAAGGGGGAGTTAGTTCTTAGTGGACAAAAAGTAGAGAAAGACAGCATGAATTCCATGTACCGAAATAAAATTTCATCCACTCATCTTCCTATAACATTGTTCACAGTAAAAATCTTGGGGGGCCGGCCTGGTGGCGCAGTGGTTAAGTGCGTATATTCTGCTTCTCGGCAGCCAGGGGTTCTCCGGTTCGGATCCCGGGTGTGGACACGGCACTGCTTGGCAAAAAGCCATGCTGTGGTAGGCATCCCACGTATAACGTAGAGGAAGATGGGCATGGATGTTAGCTCAGGGCCACTCTTCCTCAGCAAAAAGAGGAAGATTTGCAGCAGTTAGCTCAGGGCTAATCTTCCTCAAAAAAAAAAAAAAAATCTTGGAATAAGAACAAACCAGATATAATAATGCCACACCCCATTGAAGCTCTGGTTCGTTCTTGAGGAATAAACACTTGGATCTATTTGAATTTAGAAGTTAAAAAATAAGTGATCTTGGGGCCGGCCCCATGGTGTAGTGTTTAAGTTCGGTGTGTTCTGCTTCTGTGGCCTGGATCTCAGGCATGAACCTACACCACTCGTCAGGCACACTGTAGTGGTGACCCACATATAAAGTAGAGGGAGACTGGCACAGATGTTAGCTCAGGGCTAATCTTCCTCAAGCAAAAAAGAGGAAGATTAGCAACAGATGTTAGCTCAGGGCTAATCTTCCTCAGCAAAGAAAAAAACCAAAATGAACCAAAAAATAGGTGATCCCCAGTAACAACAAAATATACCAACTCACAGGGCTGACCGCAGGAACAAGCATATGATATGACTTAACGAAGCTATATATTTAAATTTTTTTTTTTACCTAATTGTCTTTCAAACATCAATTACTACATTTTTTATCTTGTTACTTTATAAAATTACCATATCTACTTTAAACTCTGGCAAATTTTAGGAAGGGAAGGAAACAGTAAAATATAAATGCAGTATGTAAAATGCACATCTACAAAAGCACACACATGTACAGAGATACATTTAAAAAAAAACCCCAAAAAACTAAATCTAGGCCTCCCAAAGAAAAGAAGAATTTCTCCCCATCTCCAAGCTAAAATGTTAGTTTTACTAGACATGCAGAAATTCACAAATACTTCAGGACCTTTGACCTGGATGGAAGAGTTGAGTGAATTCTAGACTCTGACTAAGTGGGTTGTGTTCCTGGCCCCACCACCTGTTAGCTGGCTGAGCTTAGGCAATTCATTTAGCACAGAATATGTGTTCATTGTTACTATTTTGTGTTTGTCACTGTTACCTCCAACTGAAAGCAAATGGAAAACAATTTTAATATCATTATTACAAGCTCTTTATAACAGAAAATAAGTCCAAAAGATAAGATTAGAAAAAAATAGACAGTGCTTTAAACACAAGATTAATTAAGAAAAATGGTAACCATATTTAAGTGATGGATATGTTAATTATTCGGATTGTGGCGATTATTTCACAATACCTACGTATATCAAAACATCAAGTCACATACTTTAAATAAGTAGAATTTTTAGTTGTCAATTACACCCCAAGAAAGATGGGGGGAAATTTCTCTGTGAACCTAGTAATGAGAAGAAAAGCAAAACGACAATGACAGCAGCCTCTTGTTGTCCTTTATCCTTTGCCTTCTGCAAATCGTATAGATGAAAAGACCAGACTGCCAAGCATACCTGGTGGGTTTAGATGCGCATCAGATGTGTCCTACCTTGTCCCTTCCTGTTGACGTCAAGCAGTTAGCCACGAGGTAGCAGAAAGTTCAGTTGTAAAGAAGGAGTATTCTGCCATCAGTTCCAGGGTACTTACAGTTACCCCATCTTTTCCTGGTTTCTCTAACGTTTTGTAATTCCATGCACACACCCTCCCCCCATCCCCAACCCAAAGCACAGGACCACCAGCAAAGCGCCTTACCTTCTTTCAGCATGCCCACTTTCAAACACTTCATGAAGCGGCAAGCCTGGCAGGATTTACGTCTGCGCTTCGTGATTTCGCACTCATTCGTGGCAGGGCAGCTATATTCTATATTACCTAAAACACAGAGTTTGAAGAAAAGAAGCCGTTAGATTTGCAAGACCCAGGAAATATTAACATCTTGAGGCCATGTCAAGTCTGTTACTCCTCCCCCACCTCTAGGAACAAAAGTCACATGGGATTCACGAGGATGTCACAAATGTCATGGAGAGGACACTCTGCTGTAACCAATGAAGATACATTGAACAAGGAGAAAACATACAGTGAAGCTCTTCAAAAGAGTAAGTTTAAAATTAGCCTTTAAAACATTATGCTTGCGCCAGAACGGTGGTGTGGTAAAGTTTGGTGTGCTCTGCTTTGGTGGCCCAGGTTCACTCATTTGGATCCCAGGCACAGACCTACACCACTCATCAAGCCATGCTGTGGCAGGACCCACACACAAAAAGAGAAAGATGGACACAGATGTTAGCTCAGGGCCACTCTTCTTCAAGCAAAAAAGAGGAAGATTGACAGCAGGTGTTGGCTCAGGGCCAATCTTCCTCAGCCCCCAAAAATTAAAAAACAAAACATTATGCTTAGTCTACCCATGCAACAGTCTTCCAGAATCTTACAATCCAAAGGAAATTTCAAAGCAGTTTATTTCTATAAAAACATTAACATCAAAACTGTACTCTTGGGGCTGGCCCCATGGCTGAGTGGTTAAGCTTGCACACTCCACTTTGGCAGCCCATGGTTTCTCCAGTTTGGATCCTGGGCGTGGACCTAGCACTGCTCATCAAGCCATGCTGAGGTGGCATCCCACATATCAGAACTCGAAGGACCTACATCGAGAATATACAATTATGTACTGGTGGTCTTTGGGGAGAAGAAGAGAAAAAAACTGTATTCTTTTTTTTGAAGAGGAGGATTAGCCCTGAGCTAACATCTGTGCCCATCTTCCTCTATTTTATACGTGGGATGCTGCCACAGCACGGCTTAATAAGCAGTGCATAGCTCCGTTCCTGGGATCTGAACCTGTGAACCCCAGGCCACTGAAGCGGAGTACACAAACTTAACCGCTAGGCCACCAGGATGGCCCCCAAAACTGTATTCTTGTATCATCCATCCTGGATTTCTTTTGGTTATGGATGCTCTGATGCATCAGCCTTATCATCTTTCTGATACTAGATGGTATAAACCCCACTATGCAAAATGATCAGCAGGCTAATTTGGGACCTTTTAGTAAGCTCCTGGAGGGCAGGGACTAAAGTAACGTGGTTTTTCCTGCGACACTTAGCAGAGCCTTGCAACACAATTCTATGCTTGGTAAATGCTTACTGATGATGATGATGATGATGATGGTGATGATGATAGTCATCATCGCGTTTGTTACATTACTTGCATAATGAATTCCAAACACTCCAGCTCCGTGGAATTATTACAAATGAGAAAAAACTGCTAGGATATTTTTAATGTTAGAATTAACATTTTTTTACGGTAGTACACACACATTTGAAATGAGGATGTAGCCAGAAGAAGATCCAAACTTCAACTTGAAATGTTTTCAATTAGCACCAATGACAGCCATGTGGGATGTGCTCTGGGGCTGCCTACAGCTTTGCAAAGAAGCTGCCTTTGAAATAAAACCACTCTCCCCTATCAGCTCCGTCACACAGTGCTTGAAGGTCTTTCCTTACTTCCTAACCCTTTCCCCTTGTGATTAAGTGCATTAGTATCTTAATGAAAATGCATTCTGTTTATTGCCCTCTTGGGAAGGAGGAGGTCATCACACCAAATGCATAAATTGTCATCAGAGACGGTCCGAGCATAATTGCAATTTTGCTGCTCCATATTTGCAATACCCAGGGTCCGGCCGAGTCCCCTGAAACATACGCAGATTCTGGTAATTAGCATAGAGTCTGCCTGGGACCACAGCATTGATGAAATATTTCAGAGTTAATCACACTTTGTAAACACTGATTTATATTGACTACCTTTCTCCAGACTGATGTCTCCTCATTAAATATCACATTAGTGGATTGCAGGATTGTACAAAGACTCCACTACTTGGCAACTGCTAATTCAACAGGAAGTAATACCTAACCACTTCTAACTACTGAAAATTGGTTAAGCACACACGATTGAAAAAAAAAAAAAAAGCTGTGCATTATAACTTGAGATAAGCCTATCAAAACTGTTTGACTAAATCAGCATTCTAATTCAGGGCATTAATAATAATAAAAGCAACTACTCTTTAACATTAGAGGTTAAATAACAAGAGTAATACGAATTGCATCAACAGAATCACATGCTATCACCTTCTTCGAAGATATTACTGATGCTATAATCAGAAAACCAAGGAGATGTCAAAGGAATCAGATTGGCTAGGTCACGGCTGAGGATAAAAGAATTTGGAATCTGAACTCTAGATGAACCACTTTTCACTGCAGTTTCTTTAACCATCACTGAAAATTTATTTTGCATCAAGAGAGTGTTGCTAGTAATTTCCTAGGGGTTAATTAGTATTCTACAACCAAATCTTTCCACTCCACACGGCTTTCCTTATACTTACTTAAAAAGAAACCCAGGTTGATGCTTTCTTAGGAAGAATTAGAAGGACGATGAGTTAGAAAGTAAAAGATGTTTTCCAAACAGCATTTCTTCCCATTTTTTTGTTCCTGAAAACTCCATATGAAGTCGTATTTTGTTCACTTTGCAGTATCAAGGCATGAGCACTAGTCCTACACCTGTAACCCAGTGCTGGAAACTTCTATGACGATGACCCACCATCATACACACAAAATGATCATCTGTCCTTTCAAACTAGTTCCTCTTTGACAATTATATCCTCGCCCTTCACAACAACACGCTTCTGACAGGAAGCTCAACCAGCAGGTGTGACCTTGCACCTGGACTGTGGCAGTTGACTCCTAACTGGGCATTCTGGCTTCCTCTAATCCATGTCGCATACCCTATCCTATTCCTCTCCTGATGACTGCTTTGATCACGTCGCTACCCTAACTAAAAAAAATCAATGATTCCTATGGCCTCCTGAATTAAATAAAAAATATTAGCCTAGCAAATAAAATCCCAACCCCAGTGTAACTCTCATCTACTTTTCCAGTAACACTTCAATTATTACCTTATATGAACTTTTAGATGCAATCAATTCCATGCATTCATTTTCTGCTGTGTCTTTCATTCTCCCCTCTTAGAAGGATCTACCTCTGACCCCCTTTTCTTAAATGATTTCCAAGGCTCAGTGTTCGACTCAAATTCCATCAAAATGTTTCATGAGAGCTTCTCAGGCCATCCTAGCAGAAAATGATTTCTTGGTTCTCCTATCTTTTCAGGGACTCTCATCATACACAGACATGCCAGATTTTGTTAACACTTTTCATATGCATATGACCCATTAGATGGTAGGATCCTAGAGGCACGGACCATTTCTAATGCCATATAGAAATCTTCCACCGAAAAGTAGTATGTAAGTAAAATAATGCACTTAGAATTAATATGTTCTTGCTATCTCAATGTCATTTTTTAAAAAAATATTTTTGGTGAGGAAGACTGGCCCTAAGCTAACATCTGTGCCCATCTCCTCTATTTTATACATGGGATGCCTGCCACAGCATGGCTTGATGAGCAGTGTGTAGGTCTGCACCCGGGATCTGAATCTGAGAACCCCAGGCTGCCAAAGCTGAGTGTGCAAACTTAATCATTAAACCTCTGGGCTGGCTCCTCAAGGTCATTTTTATGGACATCAATTAGGGTGTTGTAATGTAGTAATGTCCACTAGGTCAGGTAAGCTGGATGTCTCATTTGGAAGTGATATTAAGAACACTAGGAAAACCATTCCACACAACAAAAAAAGCACAAGAAAGTCTAGTTAATTTTTGAAAACCTTGAAAAGTAGCTTTGACAAAAATGGCGATGCATGGCAAAATAGGGGAAAACATCAAGGGGAAAATCAGAAAAAATACAAAGGCTTCTGGGGAATAAAGTGTGAAAAGAAAAAGAAAACTGTTAACAGACTTTAAAGGAAATAAAAGTACATCTTGATACGAACAGGAGAAGAATAAAAGAAATATAAAATATGAAAATACAGATAGATGGTACTAAAAGTTATTTAATTTTATCTTTTTATAATACTTATTATTATTTACAAAATAGGTGCTCTAAGAATTGTAGCCACATTGGAGAAAATATTTAGGGGTGATTCCACAATACTGGTTAAATCTATGAATGATCCTTCTACGAATGATTGCATAAAGATTTTTAAATTTCTTCGAAAAACAGAAGGGAAATTGTCAAATCGCCAAAGGAGAGTTTTAGAGCACACATAAAAAAGTGCTCTGGGGGCCGGCTCCGTGGCCGAATGGTTAAGCTCACGCGCTCCGCTGCGGCAGCCCAGGGTTTGGATCCTGGGCGCGGACACGGCACCGCTTGTCAGGCCACATTGAGGTGGCGTCCCACATCCCACAACTAGAAGGACCTGCAACTAAGATACACAACTGTGTACAGGGGGGGTTTGGGGAGATAAAGCAGAAAAAAAAAAAAAAGATTAGCAACAGTTTTTAGCTCAGGTGCCAATCTTTAAAGAAAAAAAAAAAAGTGCTCTGTTTCCTTTCTAACGCTTACATTCCATAATCCCTGAATAACAAAGGGAAATGTAGAGGCAGAGAAATTTTGTGTGTGTGTGTCCTTTTTTTTGGTGAGGAAGATTGGCCCTGAGCTAACATCTGTTGACGATCTTCCTCGTTCTGCTCGAGGAAGACTGTTGCTGGGCTTACATCTGTGCCAGTCTTCCTCTATGTTGTATGTGGGGCACTGCCACAGCATGGCTTGACGAGCGATATGAAGGTCCACGTCCGGGATCTGAACTGGCAAACCCTGGGCTGCCAAAGTGGAGCACACAAACTTCACCACCATGCCACAGGGCTGGCTCCAGAGAAATTTTTAATAGTGCCTTAGAATGAATCCTTGAGGGAGGAGCTCTGTCTTATTCTTTGCTGAATCCGCAGTGCTCATGAAGGAGCCTGCAATTCTGTATCACGCACAGGGCTGGAACAGAAAGA